GGGGGGGGGGGAGCTCTACGAAAGGACAGATTGTCAGCTGAATAGCATTTCTCCATCATGCAGCTGGAGATGGGAGGAAACTAAGCTACTTTTCAAGTCTCTAGAACCTGGGCAGGCCAAGAGCAAAAACAAGCTCCTTTTTTATAAAAGGTGGGACAACTAAAAAAAGACCAAAAAAACCCCTTATGCTAGCTGTTGCAGTTCCACAGAGACCACTGCACCACTTGGGCACTGGCTGCTCCTTCATGTAGCGCTGTGCTCCCCCAACAGCACAAAACTGTGGCACTGGGCCCAAGGATCTAGCCCTGAGCATCAGGCAGGAAAGGAAAACATAACCCCATTTGTCAGGAGAGAGGATTGTTTAAGGCCTCAGTACTAGAACTAAGGTCCCATTTGGCAACTATCTCAGTGACCTGTCAAATACTTTACTGATCAAAGGAGAACAAAAACATTAAAGCCTATTTGATCTGGTCAGGCAGAACACTGCTAGGGCAGATACTTGCTGAACAAGTCCCAACTCAAGCCTTGTTTTTAACTTTCTATTAGAAAATCTGACTGAGACTAAGGGAAGGGGCAGCATGGGTAGGTGCTGGATGGAGAAAGGAGAAATTTGAAGTATGGAGTAGAGGTCTGTAGTAGCATTAGCCATTGCAGAAACATAGCCAAAATACCACAGGTTAGGATAACTGCACAAAAAGCTCAATAACCCACTCAGAAGAGCAAACTCTTCACCAGATAGCCTATTATCCTTTAAAATTGAACAAGTTAAAAAAAATGGCCCTGATCTCAATCACCAAGGGAAGCTCAGGTGGCTTCTGTATAATTTTTTTTGGACTGAAGTATAAAAAATTGAGTTCACTTCTTGCTCATCCAAAAACCACATAAAGGAACCTTAACACAGCTGAATTCCAGCTCTAACCCCCTAAGCATCACTGCTGTGAAGATACTGTTAAACTGTTATTTCTAAACCTCAGATTCCAAAGCTTGAGATGTAATCCATAGTTTCAAGACTTGCTTACATTGCCTCTAAGCCAAGACCAGGAGCCAGAGGGCTCAGATGCCCCAGTGGTGCATGAAACCCCTGGGACTGGGAGACTACAGCTGTTGCAATCCCTCAGCCCCAGGGAGGTTTCACACACCCCTAAGACCAGGAGATCAATCACAGCAGCTGCAATCACTGAACCCTAGGGGTGCCTGGAATGCCACCACAGTTGGGAGCCCCTCATAAGGGGGCTCCCAGCCACAGGAGCTTGCTTCTTCCCAGTGCAGAGGGAGTCCGGGATCAAGCTCCCCCTGCGCTAACAATAAGGCACAATGGGATCTAATATACGACCCCACAATCATGTCTCCTTCCATTAATGTGTGGTCCCAATAAGAATTCCTGGGCTCAGCACTGAGGCAGTGTAGATACCGCCATACAGGCCCACCTCTGAAGGTATTGGGTGGGTAAGAAGGGTTTTAAAATCCAAGGGATTTTCAAAACATTAGGGCTTAGGAACAGAGAAGAGAGCATCACCTGCCCCATGTTTTCTTTGTAGACATTCAAGATGTTTTTGTCTGAAATGCAGATTGATGAAGGTCCATCAAGTCAGATATTGACTACTGTCCTCAGAAGTGACTCCAAGATTTAGACACACTTAGAAGCCTACGTTTCCAACAACGAAGTTGACAGCAAGTTCAGAACCTAGATTCTTCATGAACTTGGATCCAAGTTCTTACCTCCACTTACGAATTCCACTCAGTTTTGGATCCTTAGGTCTTTTACAGGAGGAACCCGCACTTTCCCTGACCTTCCTCTTGTTGCTAACATACTTGTAGAAACCCTTTTTGTCCGTTGCCAGCTGCAACTCCAACTGTGCTTTGGCCTTCCTGACTTCCTCCCTACACGTCTCAGCAATATTCTTTATTATAATAACAGACTTGTGCGGATTCCGCTCCCCCTACCCCGCCAACCATTTTTCCTGCCCGGTCTATTACTTGCCGTGCAATAGAAGATGGGTTTCTCTCTATGCCTGAAAGATGACTGGGGGAAGCACAAACATGTAATAAAATTGGTAAAGATGTAAAATAGTTATTATAAAGTGGTAAAATACTATGAGTAGTCATCAGTAAAATCTGTCTTCTCTGCATTAATCATTCTGTAGATGCAGGATTGCCAGCTACAGCTTATCAACATTGTAAGCTAGCAAGAGTCAGTCAGTCTCAAAACATTACATAACAAGCAATATTAAAGCTGTCTAAAGGGCGACTTTTGGGAGAATCTTCCAGCCAATAATTAGTCTTAGTTTCATGGAACAGTTATGACTGAAACAAACCTCAGTACATTTTATGACAAAAAAGCAGATATTTATTTCACCCAAGTTCAACACGAAATGTAAACTCTTGTTATCCACAATTCATCTCCACAACACAATGAGCATTTTCAAGACATACACCTACTAAGTACACCTGGAAGTATGATTTATGCCCTAATAAAATTGGTCTCCAAGGCACCAATACTGACAAGCTTAAACTTCTTATAGCTTAGAGCACATGTTCAATTTTGGAACTCTAAAATGCTCAAAACTGTGACAACAAAAAGAAGGAGCTGACTCCTCCTTTAAAGTGAAACCCCAAAGCCCACATATGCTCTAAACAAGCTAAAGATTTACAGGGAAGAAAGAAAAAAAAAAAAAAGCACAACCGATTATTTGCAAGTGGCTAATGCCATGCACCTGGTTTTCTGGTGGTACACAAGAATACCCTGCAGTTATATGAAAGAAATGGAAAAGAAACAGATTCTGCAAAATTTTCCCCATCCTTCAAATTTCATATTTAAAATGAAAAGCTTTGGACTTGATCTTTAAGTCACATTTTTTATCATAACAATAAAAATACAAATTTAAAAAGTTAAAATCTTAAACTAATTTTTACCTCCTCTTACAAATCCATTTGTAGCTATTGCTGAAGTAGACAGTCCTGTGATAGTTGTCACAACAGTGGCCATTGCAATAACTAAGACAGACAGACCTTTTGAGAAAGAATTGCACTTTAGTAACAATATTACAGGTATATTTCAGAAAAATCACAGGAGTCATTTGCTTCACCATATCAAAACTGTAGTCCTGTAGATTTATTGGGTACTAGACTATACAAAGGCCTTATACAGACATGCACAGAGCCGCCTCTATTACCTTTCACCCCAACCCAACTAACACATTTCTTGGTCTCAAAAAACAATGGAAGAGGACACTACTCCTTTAAAAAACGTCACAACAGCTCTTCTCCTTAGAATCCCTTGGATGAATGCCTGCAGTGTGAAGCCTGTTTTATTCCAATGTTGGGCTAAGCCTTTAAAAGGCAAAATTAAAAATTAGAGTTATGAACATACTATCTAGGCCTCAGAAGCAGGTACTGATTAAATATAGAACATGTTCTGAAAAAAAAAGTTAAAATAGGAATATATAACCTGAATATTTCTATTATAAGTGAAAAGATGTTTCCGTTAGCTTAAGTTTTCTTGACCTGTTTGATCAAAAGATCAAACACATGTATTGTTCAGTCCCTCTAGCTTGTTCTAGACTGAGTGATTCACAACTGATTCAGAAGTTATTAAATCCCCAGGCATGACTACTGTACTAGCCAAGCAAAATAATACTTAGAATTGTTTTAAAATTGTACACATACCTATTCCAGCCTGTCCTACAATCCATGACAGTCTGATGAAGAGCATCACACCCCAAATATTCAACATGCATCGTACCTAGGAAAATGCAAGACATTGTGCAGTATGACAAAGGATTTTAAAGATTTACAGATATTTTAAATAGAATTTTAGTATAGTAACTAATACACTTAATTTTGAGATGCAATACATTGTCTGGAATACCTTTTTCCTGGTACGGACAACTGCATTACATCACTAATAGGAGACTTGCTAGTGTTTATGGTTGTAAACCAACCGCAGAAATGCTTAACTGGTCAAAAGCATCGAAGAGTTTCTCTTCATTGTGCAGCATGCCTATTACCACTCAACTTTCTCAGCTGAGAAAAATCCCAGCTTTCAAAACAAACAAACAAAAAACATGGTGCCGGTGCTCTCCGACAAGGTCTCTATTACTTGGTCCCCCAGCACTAGACAGTGCCTTCACTAGACAAATTCAGCCTCTTCATACAACTGTGGCAAACATGGAAAGGTCTCTGCATCCAGGTTAATTCAGTCACCAGGAAGTCCTAAAAGTTGACTTCTATTTTTACTTCTTGACAAAATAATTTTGAGTTTGTTTTGTAAATCTACAACCACAGACAAGCATCAGATCTTAAAAAAATAAGATTATTATTTTGGCATTCATATATCTAATACAAAAGCTGTTGGGGGGTGCGAGGGAGAGCTTCTAACTCCTAGGAGAATTAAGAACAAGAAAGTGTCTGGCTCTGCAGACTCAGAAAGCCCACTCATTACAAGCTCTTCTACAAAGCCTATGTGAAGCAGAAATTCAGATGAAAAGGTTAGTACTTCAGCTATTTCCTATTCAAAGCATCATGTCCTAAATAGAAAAGAAACAATGAAGAGAAACAGCCCTAAGGGCTTATGACTTAAGATTAAGTGATTATTCCAGCAAGCTTTTAAATTACAAATTCTGGATTGAGAGGATGTGCATGTCTGACAAGTGTCTATACAGAGGTATAAACAATCAATTTGTGTAGAGATCTACATAAATACAACATGTTTTTTTCATCCAAGGCTGGGTTACTTGCAAAGTCAAGGAGACCAACTGAGATTTTGATTCTTGGCCTTAAAAGCCAACTTTATGGACTGCTTTAAGACTGTTCCATCTATTTCTTAATGTTTATGTTAGCAGGAAAACAGATAATGCTTCCACACAGCTCATGAGGGTTCTCTCTCCTCCCTCAAAAAGAGGGATATTTGGCTACCTGCAACCTTGAAGGCAGAAAAAAGAAAAACCAAGTGTCAAGACAGGTGTAGTTCTGAAATCTCCTACATTCCAAGAGGAGATTTTTAACTTGAACAAAAAACTTTAGTATTGAATGAACCAGTTGCTTCCTTGGTAAACTAATTTTCATCTGTTTCAAACCAAAACATCCACTTAGGCATAGGATATTTATAAAGCAAATGCAACTTTAAGTTAAACTGAGATAAGTCAAGTACCCCAGCAACATGTAATTTTAAGCAGGGAAATATACAGAAGGCACTGGCCACATAAAAAAAAGTGTTCATTTCTAGCAAAGGAAAGGTTTCCACTACTGGAAATGATTTTGGGAGAGGGCTCCTTGTACCTTCCCTAGACCAGTCCAGAAAAAAAAAAGTACAGGCTGCTCCAATCCTCCAGTTTCTGCTGCTCCAGTCCAACCCAGCCATGCCCACCCTACCCCTGCACACCCCAGCCTACTTCTCACACTAGGGGCTCTAGGGTGAAACACAGGCCAAGGGTTTATAGTGCTGCTTCCTCTATACACTCCCAGTGCTTGAAGGAGAGCAGATTGAGCCCTTCTGCAAAACTCCCACCTGCTTCACATACCTGAGACTGGTGTGAGAAGCAGCAGGGGCTTTGCTTCACTGCTAATTCTGCCCAGCTGCCAGGCACCAGAAGCAGTGCAGCCCTCTGCCCACATCTCACAGAGTTCCCAGTGTGAACTAGACCACTTCCTCTGCTTGGTTGCCAGAAACCAAAACACAAGGAATGGCACTGCCCCTTTACCCACTTCCCCTTACCACCCCACCAAACAACCCTATTGAGCAGTAGGGGTAGAAATCTAAAAGCCAGTTAACTGAGTGGGTTTGGGGGGTGGGGGAAATGGAGTGTCAAGGGAAAGCTGGCTGGGCCAGGAAGTGAGCTCAAGGAAAGCCTTCCTAAGCCCAGCTCCCAGCCCCACCAGCTTTTAAAGTATTCACCACCCTGCCACTCAACTGAATGGTGTTGGGCAGGGGTGTGTGGGGAGGGGTGGGGGCTAGGAGTGCAAGGGGAAGTAGCAGGTAGGAGATACTGCTGTTCCCTACACCCAGATGCTGGTGCCCAAAAGCCAAGCAGAGGGACCAGTAGGGCAAACCCCTACCTCACACCAGGAACAGCTTATCACCTCCTGGTCTATGGGACAGGCAGGAACAGCTGTCCACCATGCCTTCTACAGACCAGGACTATCTCATTATCAGGAAGATGTGGGAGCCTTTCCCTCCTGTTCCAATTTTCCTGGCTCCCAGCAGGAGTTATGCTGGAGGAAAAAGTATGTAGATGTCCAATCTCCTTCAAGACATTTTCCCAAGGGTGATTGCTACCTGGTTGTCAAGTTATTTTTCTGTCAGAGCAGCCATTTCTGTTCCAGGAGAAAGAGCTGGAACATGTGCACCCTTTCACTTCCTACTGTGAAAACAGTGATTCTCCCGGGAGAAACTGAATACCTGTATGCATGTGGTGATAATAAAAGTTGCAAACCACAACAGCAGGGGAGGGTTGAGGCTGGGTGTGTGGAAAATAACAGTAAACCTTTTTAGACCTAAAAGCACAAGTGTACTGGCGGAGGGGGGAGGGGGCAGAAGGCAGGGAAGAAAAAAAACAGAGCACATATACAACCCTGCACAACCATCATATCCTCCCTCCAAAGTTACTGCTGTTTTTATTCTTACTTTCTTATCTTGATTCAGTCAGTCATCTGAAAGAGACTTATTCTCAGTAGGAAAATTGAAAGTCACTCACCTGCCAGCCCATATAAAAACATAAACTGATCACATTTAAAAAGACCAGAAATTATATCTTCACTTACCAATACACCTTTTATCCAGCCAAACTTGACTACCCCTTTACTATCAGCAGTATAAGCAGCAGCAGCTTCCCCTGTAGGAGTCCCTTCTTCACCATTTGCATATCCATCTTCAAAAGGCTCCTGAAGACAGGGGAAATAAATAAAAAAAACTCCTTAGTCCTTCATAAGCTTGGGTAAATATAAAGATTTCAAAATCTGGTACTCTACTGATTGCATCAAGTAATAAATTATATTAAGTTCATTACTAGGTTCTATTAATACAAAGTAATCACAGAGACTAGACTAAGTGACTGCAAAAAAAAAAGTTTCCACAGCTACATCTGCAGGGTGTTTTCTAGTCAATTTAAGTGACTATTTTATATTTTTACTACAATACTTTCATACAAATTTGAAACCCTTACATAGGGGTTTATGGGCTAGCTAGATCCTATTCCACTTACACAAATGGTATTTAAGTGTCAAGTATGAAACTACTCAAAATCTGCATCTTATGATTGAAGGGTTAAAGGTTTCACATTTACAAAATAAGATAAGATGTTGAAAACCACTGACTTAGTCAGGCACTTTCACTGTAGACAGTTTCCCAATAAAGGAAGCAATTCTTCCACTCTAGTCAGCACTGGCAAGAGCTCACTTGAAGTATTGTGTACAGTCTTGGGCACCATACTTCAAGAAAGATATGGACAGATTGGAGAGAGGCCAGCAGAGAAAGGTGCCCAGTGGAGAGCAACAAAAACAGAGGTGTAGAAAAGAAGACTGGAAGGGAATTTCGATGAATTTTCAGAGACATGAAGGATGACTATAAGTAAGGAGAGAAGAGGAACAGGCTGTCCTCTACTGCCACAGGGTAAAAGGACAAAAAGCCACCCAGTAATATCTTAAATTACAGCATGAGAAACTGAGGTTGGATAGCAGGAATAACTCTGAGTGTGGTTAAACAGTGGAAAAACCTTTGAGTCTCCTGAACAAAAAACTTATCAAACAGATTATCTTTTTTTTCTGCCAATAGCCTGAGCATTGTACTCCTGAATAACAGAAGATAAGCAGCAGGTGGCCACACAAGCTCATGCCACTTCATCCACAAAAAAAAGGGGGGGAGGGGCCTAAGGAGGTCTGGTGTCCAGCTTTGGGGCACAGTTTATACAAACAATACGTCCAGAATGTCTAAGGTACAATCTAGCTCAAGAATTCTTGGTCATCTTCAAACTGAGGTGGCCTCTGTGACTAAACAGTAGCCTCAAAAGTGTTTTACTGCAGAAGGAAGAAGTCTCTAATTCCAAAAAAGCATCCTAGAACTTTAAACAAAAAGTAGCTCTCAATTTCCACCTTCTACTGACAAGCTACATTATTCTTAAGTGCATGAACAGGATCTGTTCACTAGGATCATATATGGATCCTATCACTATTTTATTCATTTTGTTCATACCCTCTTTTGTGAAATTTCCTCACTGTTTCCAGATAATTAGCACACGCAGGGAGCATCTATACAAGACGCTACAATGCAGTAGCGACAAGCTACTGCACCAGAGGTTGTTGCTATGGCAACATAGCATCTCCAGGCACAAACCATGACAGTGACACTACTGCACAGTAGTAATGATCTACTGTGCAGTAGCTCATCGCTACTGTGCAGTAATGTCTAAAAATAACCGTGTGGGGACGGTACTGCACAGCAACACCAGTTACTCCACAGTCTTCTAGTACTTGGTTAATCAAGTACTAAATGACTGCGCATTAACAACTGTGCAGTCTGCCACTCATGTAGATGCAGCCACAGAACAGGATTCAGGAGATTATGGTCCAGTGACAAGATCCCTTTTTCCCTAAAAACTCTTGCTGTGGATTTCAGTTCTGTGAAACATCCAGGTTCGTCTAAAATAATTCTACACAAGAATAATGTCTGCTTTAAGTTTTTACAGAAAACAAGAAGTTAAGAGGCAATTAGCCCATATGCTATGACCATTTCCCTGGGTAAAGTCGAAAGCATGATTCCCCCTCCTACACAGGAGCTACAGAACTGGAGAAGCCTAACATTCTCCTCGTCATGAATTTTTCCAACATGCCATACCAACTGCATACCTGACAAATCTCCTAGTTCTTTTGTGTCATATCCTTGACAGTTGCTTGTGTATCTTCAGCTTCCCCTGAGGTACTGTAAAGGCCCCTCTAAATAGGTGCCAATACAAGCCCTTTCATTAAAATGCACAAGCGAACCAACTGTAAGATTAGAATAGTCTTGTTAATAAATAGGAAATTGGTTCTTGATGCCTTAGGCTCTACATGGAAAAAGAATGGGAGTACTTTCTATTAGTATTAAAGCTTTAAAAAACAAAAATCACTCAAGAATGCAAACTCAGCACGGAATTTTTTGATATAATGTACTCATTCCCTCTACCACCACCAATTATGCTATTTCAGCATGGGGAAAAAAGTGTCCTATAACAGACAGGGCCTGGATACCATCTGTCCTATTTTACTTTCTCGCCAAATTTTCTATGCAAAAATTATTCCACCTGTTCTACTGACCTCCTTTGTACTCCACAATGGCTACAGTCTAAACTGCTAATCACTTACAAGACAAGTGACAGTGTTATTAATACCCTCTTAACTGGAAAAATTCAGAAGTCACTTATGTCTTACAGATTTTCATGAAAATATTTGTTCATACATAAGTAAATGAAAGTGAACTCTTCCCCATCTCTGGTCCAAAATACAGCTCACCCAATGATTTATTACCCTTTGTGCAATACTTTGCTTACTCTAGAAAAAGCACCAAATTATACTTGTGACTAATTTGAATTTTAAAATCCAATGATATTATTAAAAAACACAGGTCTTTTTTTTTTTTTTTTTTTTT